TAATGTAACCCTTGCTTAGCAAGGACACCTAAGAGTTAACTGCCTAGGACACCCCTCTTGGAGAAAAGGAATAATTGGGAAGAATCAAATATTATGTTTATGGAAGAAAAAAGATAAAGTGTTATGTTTATGAATGATCACGTTATCCACATTCAATATAATTCACAAGGGACAAATTAAGCATTAGCCACAAAAACAGTGTTAGTGGAAAAGCTTCTGGAGTAGACACATCAAAACGATACAGGACTCCCAGTGAAGTTAGAGGTGGCATTTTTTATGAGTGATGATCCAGGAAAGGCAGGAAGCAATAATCTGTTGGTGTCTGTTTGACATAAGGAATTGGCAGTAAAATCTGTTCATTGAATATATTTTCCTTCATMTTTTTGAAGGAGTGGATAAAGTCTCTCTAAAAAAATCTCCCTCAGTTTGTTGCTTAGCTCTTTCTSAGTACAGATGACAATAACTTAAAAAACTCATTTATTAAGCTCAAGAGATAATTTTCTCATCCGAACCTGCACTGCAATATTCTGAATCTGTTTTAAGTGTGCTTGCCACCTCACAGTCCCCCTTATATTCACTGTAAAATGTTTGGTTAACAATCTAATGAAAACCTACATGAATAACCTATATATATTGCAAGTTTGTGTGTGTTTGTACGCTTAATGTTTTATCTCTTGATGGCATATCACAGCATAAAGAAACAGAAATCAAGTCTATATGCGTATGAAACTTGTTTTCTGATTGAAATCATGTCAAAAGAAGTTAGTGTAGTGTTTTTTTTCAGTCAGTGGTGCTTTGTAAAGTGTTTCCGATTTCTTTTCYAAAACTGTATTCTGTAAGAATGGAATGCAAGTACTATTTAATCAAAAGTATTCACTTTACCTTCTATTTGAAAACATGTTAATAAAACTATCTCTCTTAATGCAGTGTTCTTTCACTAAGTCATCTTTCTTTTCCCAAACTGATAATGACATTTTCTAAAAGGGTTCAATCTGAAGTTCTTAGGCAAGTTCATATGCAGTTACTGACTTGAGAGAGTRAGGAATGGGATTCTGTTGAAGGACGAATTGCTTACAAGATTGTGGAGAATTATTAGAGTTGATATTGTATCATGGATTTATCTCCTGTGATAAGTAAGTGAAAATGATTTCTAAAGGTGCTGATCACTGTGAATAAATCAATACAGCAAAGCTTGCAGTGTTCATACACAAAAAATTCTCTATCACCAAAAACGTTCCCATAACTCATAGTCTTGTTAATTTGAGATGTTCACACATTGCAAGTATGCTCTGAATAGACTTTGGTTTTTATATATCCAGTATAGTAYCCTAGTATCCACTTGAAAGTTTGTCTCCAGGGTGATTTTAATGTTTAACATTTCCTAAGGCTATTTAGATGATAGCACCGTCTTTGCAAATCAGATGTAAATTAAAATGGAGTACTGAGAAACTGAATGCTTTAAAAAAATTGTAGACATTCCTGCACACAAATCCTTGAATAACCTCTGTTTGGCAAAAGACTTTTTCACCTGGAAGTTTTGTAAGTTTCATTAAGTTTGTTACTTAATTCACAATTGAGTTCACACACTTCCCTATGAAATTTCAACTTTTGTCCAGAATTCTTGTTTACAAATGGACTCTGATCTGGCAGCAAACTTTCATTAATGTCTTGTACCTTATTGCCAGAGTTTTATGGAATGATTTCTTTTTGAAATGTCATCAGGCATCAGACCTGTGGAGGTAGCTCTTTGCTTTCCAAGGAGACTCCAGCCACTGTACTAATATCTCTTGCAGTCCCASAGCAGTACCACAAGCACTTACTGGCCCCAGTACTTTGCTAGTAGGGAGCTGGAAGTAAATTGCATGTGATGGAATCATCAAGTCATTGAGGTTGGGAAAGATCTCTGAGATCATCAGGTCCAAGCACTAACCCAGCCCTAGTTCCATCAGTAAAGCACATCCTTTAGACCCACACCTACACACCTTTGTAATACCTCCTTTGTAATCACCTGCAATACAGGTGATCAGCCTGGAAGGAGAGTCACTTCCCTGAGCAGCCTGTCCAAGTGCTTGACAACTGTTTGGATGAATAATTGCATTGCTTGCATCATGTAATGAGCAAAAGGAAGGGAGGCCAAATCCCRTTCCCGTTGACATGAGCTTGTGTTTACCTCTGCATATCAGTGCAATTTTTCAGTTTTTATTGATTACTCCCTCACATTGCAGAGCCTTTCCTAGCTTAGCTATGTTGAAAAAATTATGCCAACAGAAGATAAAAATATTTTTCTGGAAGCAATTTTCCTGCTGGCARTATGCTGGTACTCAAACAATATAAATTAAAACAACAAAATGCTCTTTTTGAGTACTGCAGGGGTGAGTTTGTGCAGCAGGGGTATGGCTGGCCCAGTGTTGAAAATGAAAGACACTAGTTTTTCACCATCAAAGGCAATATCTGTGCTGTGGTAGAACACTGTGTTAGAAACTGAGTAAATAAAAATTCAGAAGCATAATTTCAGAGAAAGACTTAAAAATATTTTGATGATATATGAAGGTGAATTTTGTGAAATGACAGCTGTTAAAAAATATATGACAATTTCATTCACTACTGGTGTCCATCTATCCATTCACTCTCAGTTTGTTTAGTAAAATCAAATTCAGGTGCAATGCTGAAACCATGGCTCACTTTTTCTGCCTACATCTTTTCCCTCTCAGTTTACTTATCACAATCAAGTCTTAACATCATGTACTCAATTGCATCTTATAGAATGCAGTGTCAAACTCAAAAAGAGATTTTAGAGGCAACAGCAAGACAATCTGCTCAGAAGCCAGAAAAGCAGAGAGATGGCATTGATAACTGTAATACAGTAATAACAATCCTTGAAGTATAAATAGAAACTGAACACATTTCTCTAACAGAAACTTAGAGGAAGAGGAGATTTTATTTTCTACAGATCTCCCATCTACAATGTGACTTTTCTTCAGGCCTGAAATTTGGAGTARAGAAATCCCCTCAGTACAGACTTCATTTCCCAGAGAAGAAAAGAATASGCTATGCTGCATCTACTGAAAAACAAGATATTCTGTCTAGCATCGTGTTCTGGTTTTACTCAGTCTGATTTTTGGTGGTGGGGGGTGGAACCCAGAAACCACAAAGATGGCTCCTGTGACAAACTTCTAGAAGTTTTCTCCTTCTACTCCAGCAAAAGGAGCCCTACCCCCTGTGTCTCAGAACCAATCCATTGTGGCTCTGAGGTTGATGACAGGCTGCTGGTCAGGCCTGGGCCAATTGCACAGGTTGGTTACACCTCTGTGATGACATATGGTCTTGTTCTTAACAAGAACACAAAACAAGATAGAGTGCGGCTGTCATTTAGTTTTTAGGTTGTTAGTATCATGTATTGGGGGAGGACAGAGGAGGAGGGTCAGGAGATTTAAGAAAAAAAAATGGAGACTCAAGATCTCAGGAGGAAGAAGACAGGTTGCTGTGCTGTTGCTGTGGTTCTCAAATATGGAAAAACCAGGCTGTTCTCAAAAGGACTATTTCTTCAATGGGAGACCTGTCTAGAAAAGAGAGCGACCTTGCTCTGAGAAAAACCTGGCCTTTGAGGACTTTGATAAGCCAAAAAAGGGAGAAGACCCCTCCCCCCCATGTCTGAAGCGAGTTGATGCTTAGAAGAAATTGTGTTCTGTGGGGGAAGAGGTGCCCTTGCCCCACGTCTGAAGCAAGTGGATGCTTAGAAGAAGCTGTGTTCTGCCAGGAGATTTGGGATAGTAGCATTGGAGGACTGTTTTCCTTTCTCCCACRAAGTAAACAAAAAGAATCCCATGCCATCAGCAGTTATGCACTGACTGTTTCTTGGGAAAAAAACTTCCACAGCTTGGAGCTGTAAGAATCATCATCTCCTATGATGCTGGACGATAACTGTAATGAGTAGTTTGATCTATCTTAAAACTTTCCTCCCTGCCCCCCTTTGCACCGGGAAGKCATGGGCGGGGTGGAGAGGGACCACTTGGAAGAGAGCCAGGATCCCGGAGAGAATAACAGGTGTCTTAAAATGTCTGTTTTTATTTTCTTCTCCTTGTAAATTTTTCCCTATCTCTGTTCCCCTCCCTGGTGCAGTAGTATTCTTAGTAGTTTTTAGTAACAAATCTATTTTGCAACTTAAGTTATTCAGCCTGTCTGACYATTTTCTGGAGCATATATGTATCTTTCTCTCAATTATATTATCTTATCTAAAAGCCATAAATTTTTGTGTTAATTGGGCTTTTGCTCTCCCTTCTGACTCTCTGGTGGAGGTGGGAGGGAACATCATGGGTGCAGTGGTTTTGGCTTTTTGGTCAAATTCAAACCACAACACATCGTGTCTCGGAGTGTTACATGCAAGTATAAAGATGTACATAGCTATCTGCAGACTTTGCAGGAGTGCCAATTTGAGAAGCAGAAAAGTAACCTCTCTAGAATACCTATACTTACATGTGGGAATCCACAGGCATTTCATACAATTTATGGTAATTCTTTTACCATAAGCAGTCTTACGAAGCTAAGTTGTACTTTAGCAGTCTTAYGAAGCTAAGTTGTACTGCAAAAGGAAGCAACCAAATCATCTCTACTACTGAAATCAAAAGAAAATTTGTATTCAACAAAAATATCATGACATTAGAATTTGGAGCAATTTCTGAAGGTCTCTAAACTCTGAAAGAAATCTTCTGTGACCTCAAGGCAGCATATTCACCATTGATGGCATGAAGACTAYTGTTACTTTCAAGTTTTATGCCAGGAATTAGACAACCTTGTAACACAAACTCTGTTGCTATTCATTGGCATTTGCAATATATGAGATTAAATTAGTTCTTCACTACTCCAAAACCTGTCAGAAGAAAGGTGGATAACTCATCTTTGAAGTTCCACAATCAAATACATACWGTATCTAAAATACTGAGCATCCAAGAATGAGGAAACTGCAAAGGAGCAGCAGGAATACAGGCTGCAGCCTACTGTACCTGGAGAATGAAGTGGAGGGGAGCACATCAGAACAACTCCTTGACCTTCACGTACAGACACAGCACTTCTTGTCCGACCGCTAAAATTCCCCAGATCTATCAAAAGAACAGAGCATYTTAGTTACATGCCAAAGGTTTTAAATTTTGTGCCTACTGTGACTTACATTTTATTTCCCCTTGTAAAGCTGACTGTTCCTTTTTTCATACCTTAATCTATAATAGGAGGGCCTGAAAAATAAATCTATTTCCATTACAAAAAAATCCATGTTGCATCAGCACTTTATGACTTTTTTAGTATGCTTGCATATGGTATCAAAGAAAAAGAGGCAGAAAAAATATATATGCCATTCATAAATACATTTAATAGTGCTTTTATTTCTTTTTGCTCATTCTTGATTTTCTCCTCAGTAGAAGGGATTCATACACAGTAAAAAAAAAAGAAATAGAAGTGGAGGGAACACCTTGGCTAACATCCAGACTGAAGGTGTTGCAGACACCACCTGGATAGTGCACAGAGCAAATTGTGATGACAATGAAGGAAAATCAACACATTGATTTTATATTATAAAACACATTATAAAACCAAATCTGCTCTAGAACACATTTACTCTTTAAAATACTTTCTTTCTGAATTACCTGGTGCTATAAGCCCAAACCGGTGAGTAAATATATTTTCCTTCTATAAGTTTCCCTCCAGCAGGGCAATAACAAATAAAATGCTTTTGAAACAAATACTTTTGAATGAAACTGTAGGACACTGCTATGAGCAGTTCATTGTGATTATTTGAGGCCTCTCAACCAGCAGATCCTATTATTCTGTTTACCACACAGAACACTGAACCTGGATTCACATTTGGGATGGATAGTTATGCTCTAGAATGTGTATCTATAGCAAAGAATATGAGAATTCAGTTCAGCCATCAGACTGGTGTCTTCACCCATTCCTCAGAGCCAGTGATGGTGCTTAAAGCCTCTGTTCTCTCAGGGGTTTTCTAGAGCATTTCTATCTCATGTGGATCAAGGTGAGGACAGCAGCAACAAGACATCTTTGAAAATAACACAGAAGCTTCAGCAAGCACTTAATGAGGATTGGAAATATGAATAGATTGGGCCAGTGGGAGTTCCTCTCTCTGATATTCAGTGACCTGTAGCAGTGCCTCCTAATTTCTGCATACATCCCAAGGTGCTGGGATGAGCAAAACACCACCAAACAGGTGGAGCAGAATTATTCCTATCTTAACTGCACTCGGTTGGCATTTTTCTGTCAGATGCTGAAATTCCATGTCTTGCTCCAGACCAAGTAGAGCATAAAACTGAAGTTCAATGATTTTCAAAAGTAATTGGAGTTGATTTTTTTTTTCCACATTTCTAAAATATGTTTTGGATAAAGGCAGAAATCTAAAATTTAAATACATCAAAACTCGTGTTGTCTTTGGTCAAAATAAGTTAGTGCTTTGATTTCAACAATAGGTATCATGTTCGAATAGAGAAAAGATATTTGAGATACAGAGGAATTTTAACAAAAAAAAACAGGGCTACATTACAATTTATGCAAAATTGTTCTAGTCAATAAACAATTAAAAATTGTAAAATGATATTGCATTTTTTAAAAGGACATAATGTGTTATAATATATTTTGGTGTAATTTTTCTTAAAAGTGTCTCCTAATGCATATTACCTGATGGTATATTTTGCAGAAAAGTAATTATTATTTTATGTCCATAAAACAGTGGGCTGGTATATCTCTGCATAAAAAGTTGTTTTGGATGGGAGAGTATCCTGTAATGGAAACTTTTCTTAGTTAAGACCTCAGGTGATGAAATACTGTTTTCCAATTAGCTATAGCAACCTTCATTTTTATTTCCATTTTCTKCTTTGAAAGTGCACTCTAAAGACAAACATATTTTTTTTTTTTTACCAAATGAAAACCAAAGGTATCCTTTCTTATTTCAAAATAAAAGTGCCATGTATGACTCCAATTTCTATGTGTTCAAAACAACTATTTTCAAACTAAAGGAGGGATGTATAAAAGAGCTTTGAATTTCAGTTCTTTTTGGCAATCTGTTGGTTCTGAATTGGATTTCTTGTTAGCATACAGTGGAAAAAGGATTAAAAGGTACAAAAGAAGGGATTTACTCATAAAACAAATAAATGCAGAAAAGCTTAAAAGGAAGGGAAGTTGCAGGAYCATGCCTGCAATTCCCCCACATTAAAGTAATAAGCCCAATATGGAAAAATCAAATTAAAAGAAAATTCAATTAATTTCTTGTAAATCTCAGCCATTTCATATCTATCCACATTGGGTAAAAAGGGACAGCTACTAAAAATTTACACACCTTAAAACTCTAAAAAGGTAGATAATAAGAGAAAAGGTGAACATAATCCAGCTTTAGAGGTGGGTACGGTAGCCTCTCATACCGCAGCACTGGCCATCACTTCTGTGTTCTTGTTGCAATATAGACCTGCAACACGCGTGACATGTCAGACAGCCCCACACAGAGTGAGTCTGTCCTTCATCTTATTATGGTGTTTATGGTTCATTGATAAGAAAATGCCTCCTTGGGCTCCACAGGTGTGCATCTTTTGCCCTGAAAGATTAATTTACTCTTATCTCAGTGCTAGTGGCAAAGATAAACACCTACTATGTTATTTTCAAAGCAATTCCCAGGCTTTAGGTACATAACTCCCTTACCCTTTAACATCATAAACAGCCTTGACTACTTTGAAGAAATATAGTTAAATGACAGTCACCATGTCTAATGGAACTTACTAGTAACAATAAAAGTGCAAAACATAAAAAGGATATTAAGATGGAGTGCATGTGCAAGCCTAACACTATTTCCTTTACTGCTAAAAACTAATTAATTTAAAAAAAATTCTACAGTGTCACTAGTCAACCTGTGACACAGGAGAGGTCTCCGCTGTGAAAGTGAGATAGTAGGGAAATTCCAGAGCTACTGAAGATGCCAGACAAAAGCTTTGCCGGTCTAGCAACAAAATAAACATCCAAATAAAAGGGGAAATCTTCTGCCATTGACAGAAGGACTTGTACAAAAGTTGAAGGAGTTTTTATCACTTAATGGCCTTTCAAGTCACCTTCACTGCRTTTTGCATCTTAGGTATGCACAGCAGGGATTGTTCATTCGCTGTGTTCACCAGTTTGCTACAGTTAATGGGGGCAACAGGAAGCAGGTTTTTGTGACCCAGACAACCATCCATGGATGACTGCTATGAAATTAGGATTAAATTAAAGATGAAAAACAGATCTTGTTTTTGTTGTAGGCAATTACTGCTTGGTAACCTAGCATGGAAGCTGTCGAAAGCTCTGTACTTCATTATCAGTGACTTAACCCAGTCAATTTAGCTTTAAAGTAGAAATTAGATTGGTGCAGAGCAATGTCCTCTGCCAGCTCAGTTCTGCAAGTTTAAACTATTTTATATGCAAATTTATTATGGAGTTGAAAAGGGACATAATATGATATGTATTAAAATGTTTAAAGATGTGTCATGAAAATACCTAAAGACAAGCATAAAGCAGGTAATATTCTTTCCAATAAGGTAAAAATAGCTCTACACAAGGTAAGAGTCTTCTGTCAGGCCAAGGACAAACTTATTTATTGGGTTGTCACTAAGAGAGGGTAGCCATCCTCTCCTTGGATTTGAAAGACAGGACTAAGAAATAGACCTTGAGCTGGAATTGTAGTTCTTTAAAAAAGGTAAGATTTAGAGGGAAAAAATTCCATTAAAACATGTTTTTCAAAATCCCATTACAACCGAAATCAAAAACATGCTTTGACTGTACACTCTAAACAATGGAAAATATAAATGTTCTGTTTAATAGTCCACAAACACAAGCTATAGAAGAAWGAAAGGTGAGTGCTGAAATAATATCACATCATTGTATAGGGAACTTTTACATTGGATGAATTAAATACAATACTCACAGAACTGACAAATGTACAAGGAAATTAAGAGATTAATTTATATTGCCATTCACTTATTTTCTAGGAATATCAGATTAAGTAGATAGAGCTCTATTATTAGAGCCACACATTTGACCTAGGAGTAACTTCTAATGCTGAAATCATTTCACTAGAAAGAGTGTGAAAGGAAGTTCAGACAAAAAGATTTCTACCATGACAGAAATATCATCTCATCATTGATAATGGGAAAAAATACATCTTGAACTTTCAAAAATCACATACACTATTGACTCATTAGCCCTGAACCAGATTTTCATCATGAAATGCARGTAAATAGTCAAATAAAGAAACATTTTTTCTGACCTTAATGATATATTTTGATTTACATATTTTTTAAAAATTATAACAGTTTTAAAATACCTGGTCTACTGTTTATTGTTTGTCATCATAGTTGTCTACATCTAGTTGTTTTATCTTGTAAGTAGACAACATTTTTTGGTACTTTCTACATTTCCTATCACAGTGAAGTCATGAATCCATAAATGTGGCCAGTACATTCTACCATAATACAATATATGAGTAATAATTAAATATCCAAGTGTCCTGGTTTTGTCTGTGATAGTTAATTTTGTTCTTAGTAGCCAGTCCAGTGCTGTGTTTTGGATTTATGTGAATAATGCTAACAAAACTTTGATGTGCTGGTTGTTGCAGAGCAGTGTTTCTCCAAAATCAAGGAATTTCCAGGGCTCCATGCTTTGCCAGTGGGGAGGGGTACAAGAAGCTGGGAAGGAGCWTGGCCAGGACAGCTGACCCAAACTGGCCAGAGGGATATTCCATACCACAGAGCATCATGCTCAGTGTATAAATGGGGGGGAGTTGGCCTTGAGGCATCGATCGCTGCTGGGGATGGGYTGTGCATTGGTCAGTGGGTGGTGAACAATGCATTATGTATCCCTTGTCTCTCCTGGGTTTTATTTTTCTTTCTTTTTTCTCCCTTTGAATTACAATTAGTACTACTACTGTTATTATTTTTGTTGTAGATTTATATTTATTAATTATTATTAATTAGAAAATTTAGCCTTTTTATAAAATATGAAATACAGACTTTTTCACTATTTACTATGCCMTACTTGTTAAAAGGGAATACTACATTTCAATAAAAATATTCACTAC